GCATTGTGATTTGTGTGCTGTAATGAGGGCCTATCAGGTAACATTCACATCAGAACAATCTGAGCTGCAATTTAAAAACATTATTTGCTGAGCATCCTATAGTTCGGATCTGGAATGTTCCGAAGGCTCATGTGCTGAAGGTGTGTTCACAAGCACATGGCCCAACTGGGAGGTAGTGAACCTTCAGGAGGTGGAGCCCCACAGATGGAGGTTAGGCCTCCCTCTGGGGATGTGCCCTTGGAGGGGCTATATGGACCCCAGTCCCTTCCTGTCTCGTACTTTTCTTCCTGCTATCATCAGGTGAAAAAGGTTCCTCTGCTACATGTTCTACCATGATGTACTGCCTTGCCACAGGCCCAATGTGACAGAGCCAAGTAATGATGGACTGCAGTCTATGAAACCATGAGCCAAAATAAACTTTTCCTCCTTTGATTTATTCAGATATTTTGCCACAGCCATAGAAATCTAACATGCAGCAGGATATGACCCCGCATATAAAACTGATAATACCAGAACTGTCACCACCCATAGACCTGAAGGGGCCAGAGGGAACAGCTGCCCACACAGTGTCTGGGTTCTGTGTAAAGAGGCCACTTAACAGGGCCTGAGACCCCTAACAGCGGAATAGGCTAGCCTGTGGGACCAAACAAGGAAAGGAAGTAATACCCCAACTCCTCCGTCCCTCCAAATTCAGCTACAAATCCTCACTGACTGGACCCAATCAGAAACCAAGGGGTGAGATTAGGGCACAGATTAGGATGGAAAAACATAAGGAAGCAAAGCTATATGACTCTATGCCTAGAGTCAAGAGGTTGGGGAAACTCCCACACAAAGATAGGATGGAAAAACAAAGCTGTATGACTCTATCCCTAGAGTCAAGAGGTTGGGGAAACTCCCACACAAAGATATGGGGATGGATGCTCTCCCTCCTGGAATCTGATAAAGCCACAAGTCTGTTTGGAGAAATGTCACCCCAACAAGCTGTCCTACCACTGAGGGCCTCATTCCAAGAGCCACGGAGCAGCCTCAACTACCACCCAGCCCCAGTCCAGACTCGAGGAAAGTGTCCCAGCAAAGTCACTCAGTGTCTGTTGGTAGCAATGAAAGAAACTTGATTTAGGGGCCTGGGGATTTAGCTCAGCGGCACAGCACCTGCCCGGCAAGCACAAGGTCATGAGTTCAATCCCCGGTACTGGGAAAAAAAACAAAAACAAAAAACAAAAAGAAACTTGATTTAAATCCGACAAAAATTCTGATATACAAATAATAGTGGAACATGCACTTAGCGTGCACAAGGCCCTGGGTTCAATCCCCAGCACCAATAAATAAATAAAATGTATTCATGTGAGTTGGGATCTTTCATCAAAAAAAAAAAAAAAAGAATCAGTTTCCAGGCCTGGCATGCATGTCTATAATCCCAGGTACTCTGGAGGCTGAGGCAGGCAAATCACAAATTCAAGGCTCCCCTGGACAACTGAGAAAGATCCTGACTCAAAACAACCAAGTCAGGGCTCTGCAGTCTAAGCCTGACCCAGGGTTGCTTAACATCACATTTCAAAAAAAAACTAGCCAGAGACCCTAGGACCCAAACACCACCTGGATCACCACCACCCCAAGAATGGGTTCTTCCTGCTCCTTCTAAAACAATTAGCTCCCCAAATACAGCCCAGGGCAGTGCACTACCTTGGCTACAGAGAGGTCATGTACCTCCCATGGAACTGTGAGGACACCTGGGGAAGTGAACCTTCCAATATGGGAGGAGGTTTTCATGCTGGGCATATTCAGACAAGGAATGTCCACTCACTGTGCATGTGATCTTCTCGATATACCTGAATATCTCCTTCAGACAGTCTCATCAGAGAAGGATGACTGACTGCCAAATTTCCTTCCCCCAAAGAGTTAAACTAACCACTTCCAGCCAACACATGGTGCCTGCTTTGCCGTGCATATACACACACATAATCATTAAAAACTTTCAAAAGTAATAAGCAAAACATGATACCTCATAGCTTAATCCTCTTTTTTTGTTTTTGAGGAGTTTTCTGGGTTTTTTGTTTGTTTCCATGTTTGTTTTTCATCATATTCTCCAAGTCTCTCATACTTGACTTTGGATACATTATTTGTTTTGATGATTTTTTTTTCATTATTTTCTTTTTTGTAGCCTTGTGCTAAAATTAGCTGGGACTTGCTGAAAGAAGAGATTAGGATTAAATTTAGCTGTTACAGAAAAAGGGCTTAAACTAGACAGAAGTTTCTCTTCTACATAAAAGAGGCCTAGAGAAGGGGCTGGGGCTGGCCTTGGACCCACTCAGCAAAGCCAAGAACCCAGATCCTCCCTGCTCACCCTCAGTCATACCCCAACGAGGCCTCATCTCCACAGTCCAAGATGGCAGCCAGAACTCCAACCATAACATCCAGTAGGACAGAGGGAAAGACACAGAGGGATGAGCCACTTACTTTTGTAATACTAGTTTCCATCTTACTGACCCAAATTCAAACATATGACCTCATATAGCCACAAGGGAGGCTGGGCAATGAGCCAGGTGAAAATTGAGATCTTAGTACTCAAGACCAAGGATAAATATTGAGGAGTAGCCAACTATTGCTTCTACGGACGAGGATAAAAATCATGTTGCCGAAGACAATTCATTCACATGAGAACAGGCATGTTTACAATGACAGTGGTGTTGATTAATCTCTACTAAGTAATTACTACAGTATGTTAAATAAAATGTGTAGAAATCCATTGATTTGGACTAAGCTCCTGCACTAACAGACCAAACCAATATGGGGTTTTAACCACAATTCTGAGCTTTAGTTAATTACAAGAGGCTCTGTAACCAATTAACCAATTAAGCTGTAACCAATTAAGCTGTCTCTACACCACACTTCTGTTTCCTATAAATGCTGTTAGATCATGTTATTGGTGGGAATTCTCTGAATCTCCTTTGGTTCTGGGGACTGACCAAATTCACAAATCATTGTTTTGTATTGCTTTGTTCTATTTTGTTTCTAATTGCTCAAATAAACTGTTGTGATTAATTAATTTATGGGTGTTTTTTTTTTTTTTTATGAGACAGAGTTTCACTGTGTAATTAAGGCTGGCCTTGAACTCACTATGTAGCCCAGGCTGGCCTAGAACTTGTAATGATCCTCTTGCCTCAGCCTTCCAAGTGCTGAGATTATAGGCGTGTGCCACCATGCCCGGCAATTGTTTTCCTTTTGACAAGTAGCTGTGGGCATCACTCCTGGCACTGGATATGTATTATTTAATCCTTACCACATCCTTGAGAAGTAGTTATTATTACTACCCTTATTTTACAGAGGAAAAAATCAAGGCACAAAGAGACTAGGGCAGTGGTAGCAGACCTATGGCATGCATGTGGCAGCAGACTGTTCGTATCATTGAATTGAAAAGTTCGCCATCACTGGACTAGGAATTTATCCAAGGTCACCCATCTAACAGGTAGCAGAACCTGAATTTGAAAGCAAGCAATCTGGTACTAGAACCCCAAAAACAAGACACAATAGTGAACAGAGATACCATCTCTTACCAGCAACTACAGAACCAAATCAAGGAAGGCAACTGAGTTCTTCCAAAGGGCTTATCTACTAATTCAGAGTAGAGACAGGGGCCAACCTGTTCCTTGCTGTATCACTGCACTCTGAATACATCATATGTTCATCCATTAAACTAATATCTTTTCCTAACACTCATTACCTTTGCAATTCACTGTCCAAAGCCTGTTGCCACTTGTGTGGGGTAGATACTGCAGCCAGCATAAAGTACAGCACATACAGTTGCTTGGGACAGACTTGTTCTGAGTAAATGAGTATATTGGGCCTATTCCTTGACAGTGCTGGACTTAAAGAAGTGAGCAGCACTTGGCATTCATGGCCAAGAAGTGATAGACAAGTGGTCACCACAGGAAGGAGTGTAGGCAAAGACACAGGGACTGGCAGTGAGAAGTCTGGAGTGGCTAAACTGTAGCCTACGAGTCTCAAGCAATAAGGGGCAAGATCCTAAGCATAAGCTGGAGTCAGACTTGAAATTCAAGTCCACACTGCAAATTTTAACCTTAGCTCAGAGGCAATAGGGAGCCACTGCAGGCTTAAGCAGGGGAACATCATTACAGCGATGAAGATCTAAGAGGTTCTGGTATGGAGGACAGAAGGAAGGAAAAAGGCAGAAGCAAGGATATCAGTGAAGGGGCTGGAGCAACAAGCAGCTCTGCTGAGGGGAGGAGGTGGGTGACAAAAATGGTGGGGAGACAGAGACTCAGGCTTGATGAGGGGCAAGAAAGGAAGAGGTAGCTCTCAGGGCTGAGGGGACGGGAAACCTGTCGAGAACCCTGGTGGAGAGGCTGAGGAGATCGGGCCAAGGCAAGGGGCTTGGAAGAGGGAAGAGGGTGGGGCGAGGAGAAACAAAAGTGGCCCAGATGGGCCAGAGAACTGTGGGAAGGGAAAGGGGGGGCTCTGGCTTGAGCTGGGGCAGACAGAGCAGTTGGCCGCCTGCAGCTTTGTGCTCATGGCTCAGAAATGTCCTAGGCCTGCCAGGAGACGGTCTGGCCCCTGCTGCCCCTGTCCCCCTCCACCAGCCCAGGCAGGCTCCCACATCAGGAGTCTGAAGCCGCTCCCAGCCTTTCATCCCTCCAGTGGTCCCCTTCCCTAGAAACTAGGCATACCTATGCCCAAGCCTGCCCTCGCAGCCCTCCCCCAATGGCTGATGAAGCACAGGCCAGGACAGGAGGGAGAGAATAAACAGACCTCTCCAGGGAGGTTGTCAAGAAGCAGAGGTAGGCTGGGGCCAGCTGGGGGTGCCAGGAGCCCACAAGTCCAGCAGGGTCGATAGCAGTGGGATCCAAGGAGCACTCAGGGCCAGCAGGGAGTTAACATCTGGTCTGCAGCTCGACAGGCCTAATGAGACCCAGGTGGTCCCTCCGCCTCCGATCATGTAAACTGATGCTGGTCGAGTGTGGAGAGGGGGGTTCTGCAGCTCCAGCGGAGGGCGGGGCTGAGGCGGCTGGCCAGGGGCCCAGCACATAACTTTGGGCGGCTGCAGTCTGGGGCCTCAGACAACCAGCCGCTCTGAGCCGAAACGACAACATGAAGGTACTGGGTCCACTGTGGGTAGTTTCTGGCCTCGGAAGTTAAGTCCACTTGTAGAGAAGCCACTTGCCCATAGGGGGACTATGAAAGCATAGATGTTCTCTTGAGACTTAAGCTCCAAGGGTGTTGGGCTTTGTCCAGGAAAGTGGGGTCACTAGGGAGGGAAAAAGAGAGGCCAAAGGACATGAAAGGGCTTCAGGTAGGGGCAGCATATACAATGGAGCAAATGCAGGGAGAACTCTGCATGAAATGCAACCCTGGGATCGGAGGTTTCACTGATTGCTTCCTGTCACCAGGCCCTCCTGGCCCTGCCGCTGCTGCTGCTGCTCTCGGTGCCTTCCTGCACCCCCCAGGCCACCGGGATCCGGGGAGACGGTAAGCAGCCCCACACTCCAAGACAGGCCTGGCCAACAGACTGCAGGGCGACAGACTGGGTGAACACAAGGCACACAAGCCACAAAGTGAGGGTGGTGATGCAGCAGTCTCTAGGCAGCCCCCTTACAGAAACCTCACTTTCTCACGAGTCTGCTGACCCCAGGGATTGAGACAAACTGGACTGTCTCAGTCCCCTCTCCTCACTATCCCCAAACCCCCACCCCCAGCTCTAGAGAGGTCTTGCCTTCAGCAGCCCCTGGACTGCGATGACATCTACGCCCAGGGCTACCAGGCAGACGGCGTATACCTCATCTACCCCTCGGGCCCCAGCGTGCCGGTGCCCGTCTTCTGTGATATGACCACTGAGGGCGGCAAGTGGACGGTGAGTGGGAGAAGAGGCCAGATCCAGTTTACTCCTAGCTGTGTAACCCTCAGCTTCACCTCAGCTTTTGACTTTAAAATGGGTATGATTATACTTGAGCCACTCTCTTGGCAATTCTAAGTACTTAATGTAGGTTAAGGTGTGACTCCGAAGTAACTCACCTTCAGTCACACAGCCAGTACCAGGATTCACACACAGCCAGAGTGCTTCTGAGTTTTTGTTCTGTGCTTTGGGGATGGAACCCAGGACCTCATGCACAATAGGCAAGCTCTTTACCCCTGAACCACATCCCCCCAGCCCTCTCTCCTCTTTCCTTGCCTGACTCTTAGTGGGAGCTGGTGAAGAGTCCGGGTGGGTACACACAGTAGCTGCTCAGTGAGGGGCCTAGCGACAGCATGAACCTTTTAGCAACCTCCCCAACTCTCACTCAGTTCTTTAACAAGCCAGCCTTAGCAACACGCTTCATGCTTAGGTGAGTCAAGTGGGGTGGGGACCACCACTGGACCCGCGACTGAACAGTTCCCTGTTCTCCCGGCTCCAGGTCTTCCAGAAGAGATTCAATGGCTCAGTGAGTTTCTTCCGGGGCTGGAACGACTATAAGCTGGGCTTTGGCCGTGCGGACGGGGAGTACTGGCTGGGTAAGGCTGGGGCCAGGAGGGCTGGGGTCTGCCTCACAGCCCGGTCTCTGCTGACCAGCTCCCTGCACCCCTAGGGCTGCAGAACCTGCACCTCCTGACACTGAAGCAGAAGTACGAGCTGCGAGTGGACCTGGAGGACTTTGAGAACAACACAGCATACGCCAAGTATGCTGACTTCTCCATCTCCCCCAACGCGGTCAGTGCGGAGGAGGACGGCTACACACTCTACGTGGCAGGCTTCGAGGACGGCGGGGCAGGTATCCCCTCCTGCCAGCTCCAGCAGGGCTGTGGGGGAAAAAGCAGGGCTGGCCTTCTCTGGTGACCCTGTGACCTCCTTGAGGTCCCTCTTTCATCCCTCCTAGCCTTGGCAGAGCCTCAGCTGGATCCCAACCAGCCCAGCCAGCTCCCGCCTCAGCCTGAGAGCAGCTGCCCTGGCCCTGCTCCAGGCAACCCTGTGAAGGAGCAGCTGTTTATCTTCACTTCAGAGCCCCCATCCATCCCACAAACATCTGGCTCAGGGAGGGTGCCCCCAACCCCACCAGGACACCTCATGATTTCCCTCAGCGCCACTTGTCACTGCCATCACCCTCTCCTTCCCAGCACAGAGACCAGCGCCCCGCCTCAGCAGCCCCATCCTTCCTCCCTCTGCCAGGTGACTCCCTCTCCTACCACAGTGGTCAGAAGTTCTCCACCTTTGACCGGGACCAGGACCTCTTCGTGCAGAACTGTGCAGCTCTCTCCTCAGGAGCCTTCTGGTTCCGCAGCTGCCATTTTGCCAACCTAAATGGCTTCTACCTGGGTGGCTCCCATCTCTCCTATGCCAATGGCATCAACTGGGCCCAATGGAAGGGCTTCTACTACTCCCTTAAGCGCACTGAGATGAAAATCCGCCGGGCCTGAGGGGCTGGCCCTGCCCCGCTGCACCCCTCCCCTGGCTTCCTGCATCTCCGTGAGTGTCCCTCTACCTTCCAGGCCCAGTATGCTGCTTCTGCTGCTCCCTGCCACTAGCTTCTCAGGCAGCCTTGTGACTCAGGCTGCAGGTGACACTGACCCATCACCCACCCAAGGTGACCATTTCTAAACCAGGCCCTGCTCCCTCCACCTGAGGGTACTGTGCCAGCAGTTCCCCAAATCTGGACCTGGCTGGGCTTCCTGAGGTTCAGAGTTGCCTCCACATCATCCAAACAGCTGAGAGCAAGGAGCCACCCTTCAGGCATGGGCTTTTGTGTCCCACCATAGCCAGCTTCCTCACTGTGGACGGCTGTCTGGGCCACCCTAGACTGAGCAATGCAGCCTCACTAGCACCCACAGCGTATTGCAGCCACTGGGCAGCCACTGCACCCCAGCGCCCCCTCTATCCATTCTCAGAGCACTTCCCATCCTTGTCCTTTTTACCAGCTCACTCCCTACGGTGAGCACTGTGGACCCTCAGCCCCACCTTACCACCATCCTCCACACCCTCCACCTGCCAATCCCAGGCCCCTAAAGCTCATGCCAAAGTAGTATTCACCACAGCTACTGCAAGACACCCCAAAACAGCTACAGGCAAGGTAGGCATGGGAATGAGGTCCCCCACCTGCCCCAGGGATTGAGGTTTGGCCATATGAGGGGCAGAGAACAAGCTTGTGGGGCTGGGAGTGGGTGGGGAGTGGAAGTCTCAATAAACCTTCAGGACCTGAATGAACTTTGTGTACACACCCATTTGCTTGGCCTCTGAATGTGGGGACTTGGCTCTTCCTTTTTTTTTTTTTTTTTTCCAGTACTGGGAATCAAACTCACGACCTTGTGCTTGCCAGGCAGGCACTGTGCTGCTGAGCTAAATCCCCAGTCCCTTTGGCTCCTCCTTATACCGCTACTTATGGTATCCTGCCCACCCCCAACTCTAAAAATGACACCTGGAGTCAGGCATTAAAGGGAACCTTATATTTCACAGGCTTCATTTTGATGGCAAAAAGACTGCCTAATAATATTACAGTAATAAAAATACAATACTGAGAAGGATTGTTCAGAAGAAGTCAGGGTCTCTCAATCCCGACACGGCTCGGCAGTGGCTCAGGTGGCTGCTTAAGGCTGAAGGGTGGGTCTGAGATGAACCTGCAGAATAATCCAGGCTGAGCCTCACCTGTTGGGCCCAGGGGCCAGACCCCAGGAGTGCTCCCAAGGACCTTGGAGCTGGATCTCCCCTGGCAGCAAGGCACTGGCTGTGGCCCTCAGGGCTCCTGGAGGTCAGGCAGATCAGACAGCAGCATCGGGGAATCCATCTGGATCTCACGCTGCAAAGACTCAATGTCAGCAGGGTTCATGCCGTGGCCTTCAAGCCAGTCAGCAAGTAGAGAGGCTGAGAGTGAGGCCGAGTCTGCCTGGCTGCAGGAAAAGGGAATCAGGGATGGGGGAGGGAGGGTAGTGTTAGCCTAGGCCCGCTTGGCAGGTATCCCACCAGCAAGCCTTTCTGCACCAGGAACCCTTCCCCATAGTCACACTCCAAGAGCTCAGTCCAGCCATCTTACCCGTCCTGTGGCCCATCAGCCACACCCATGTCAAAAGACTGGTTTAAAAATTCCTCCAGGTCAAAGCCAACACCATAGCCAGCCCCACTGCCCTTTGGTGTGCCTGAGAACACAGGGGGCAGGGGGTCTTCCACCTGTAGGGGATGATGGTAGGTTACATACAAGCATCAGCAAGGACAGGACCTCTGCCCTGATGCTGACTACTCTGCCTAGATATCCCTGAGGGCAGCACCAGTCTCAGTGATCACCGAGTCCCAGCTGGGGCCCATCCCTAGGCCACATACTTCCTGGCAGAATATCATTTGTCTTCAACAACTTCTTCACTGGTTTTCTGCTCTTTCTTTGAACAAAGGAATAAGTTCAGGGAGAAAGTCCCATCTGTTGCTCAGTTTTTTTCTCTTTTTTTGGTACCGGGAATCAGAATCAAACTCAGGACCTCGCACTTGCCAGGCAGGTGCTGTGCTGCTGGGCTACATCCCCAGCCCGCTGTTTTTATAGAATGACAATTTCCCAAACCCATGGGCCCAGATCTAGGTGTCCCATCACCTGGATCTCTCCTCTTACCTGTGACTTAGACAACTGCTGGGTCACCAGGTTGACATCAGGTGACTCTGATGTAGAAGGCTGAGGGGGGCCCCCAGGGTCTGGAGGGGGTGGCCCAGATGGGAAGTAGGGCAGAACTACAGTGCTGGGGCCAGGCAACCCAGAGGCTGGCACAAGCGATGCAGGGGGCAGAAGATTAGTGGAGGTGGCAGTATGGAGTGATGCAGGAACAGAGAGGGGTCCAGGAAGGCCAGCAGGGTGGGGCACAGAGGGTGAGCAAGCAGGTTGGGGTGCAGGAGTAGGGGTCGAGCTTGCAAGTTGTTGGGAGGGACCAGTGGGTTGAGCTGCAGGGCCAGCAGGACTGCTGGGCTGGGCTGGGGATGACGCTGGTACTGGGGCTGGAGCTGGAGCGGCAGGCGGGGCAGGGGGCCGGGCCATTCGAGTCCAGCGCTCCAGCAGGCTTCGGTCATTGTCACTAAGCACCAGTCCAGCCAGGGGGTCAGTGGAAGGGCCCCCCACAGCCCCAGCGCCCCGCTCCTTGCGTTCCCGCTCTTGCCGGCGCTTCTCCCGCTCCTTGGCTCGCTCTTGTCTCCTCCGGCGCTTCTCCTCCCGCTCTCGCTGGCGTTCCTGCGCTGTCACTGGTTTCCGAGGCTCAGGAGCCTCCAAAGGTACACTGGGGCCATCTGCAGGAAGCCAGGCAGAAGAAAGGTAAGTGCCTACAACCCTGTCTGAGCCAGAGGTCCCCTCTAACCCCCCTGCCCCTGCCAGGTGCTGCACCAAGGCACCTCTGAGCCGGCTCCGCAGGGACTTGAGCAGGGTGGCTTTGAGAGCTGCCTTGGTGTTGTCTGAGATGGCGCCCTCTCTCTTTGGTGGGGCAGGCTCACTGGCTGGTGGAGGTGGCTGAAGGGTCAGATCGATGCTATCGGGTACAGGACCTGTGCACGGTGGGGGCACTGGTGGGGGTGACTCCATGGCACAGTCCCCACTGGGAGCCCAGGGACTGGGCATCTCAACATCTGGACAGCTAGGCTCACTAGCCACAGGCTGCAGCGAAGGCTGGAAGCGGATCTGCTGGCGGATGCCTTCACGTCGTGCATGGAAGTCCTCAATCTCAGCCACAATGGCCTCCTTAATGCGCTCTCGGGTAAGGGCTTCACGGTCAAAGGCAAAGTCAAAGGGTGGGGCACAATCAGGCTCATCATCAGGGTCATGATACTTTGCCAGGAAAGGATGACGAAGGGCAGCAGCTGCTGAGATCCGGGCACTGGGTTCAAATCTCAGCATGCGGCCCAGTAGTGAGAGGGCCTGGCGGTCAGCACCAGGGTACACTGTTTCCCAGGGAACAGGCTGGCGTGGCGGCAGGCTCTGGATATAGGCCCGCACTCTTTCAGCGCCCACAGCCTGAATTACAGCTGGTGATGGGGTACCCAGCACCATCATGATCAGTTGTAACTGATGCACATAGTTTTTGCCTGGGAAGAGCTGGCGCCGGGCCAGCATTTCACCAAAGATGCAGCCCACAGACCAGAGGTCAATAGCCTGTGTGTACTCATGCAGGGAGAGCATAAGCTCTGGGGCACGGTACCAGCGAGTGGCTACATACTCAGTCATAAAGTATTGGTGCTCAGCAGGGGAGGTACACAGGCCTCGGGCCATACCAAAGTCACCAATCTTGAGCTCACAGTTCTCATTCACCAAGAGGTTGGAGGGCTTGAGGTCACGGTGGATGACCTGAGCTGAGTGCATGTATTTGAGGCCCCGTAGCAGCTGATACAGGAAGTAACGGACATGCTCCAGTGTGAGCGGCTGTGAAGAGTGGATGATCTGGTGCAGATCGCTCTCCATCAGGTCCAAGACCACATAGCTGGAAAGGAGAGGCATGGACTGAACTAACCACAATACAGACACAAGCCCCATTCTACCACTCACTCCTGACTCTAGATAGGTAATGGCATAATCCTGGGACCTCAAAGGGATGAGAGCATGGTGCAAAAGAGCACTAGTTCTAGATTCTCTACATCCTTTCCATTAACTTGACAGTTATTTTCCCCCCAGGCCTAGTTTCCCTATCAGATGAGGTTCAACTACACCAGGGCTGGCCAGTGGGTGTAGTTTTGGAACTAATTCTGTTGTTTAGTAGTAGCTGCTTAAGAGATTTCTGGGAAGATGGCAAAACGGTGAGTAGCAGCAAATTAGCCTCTCCAAGATTGGGAGACCAGGTGCTAGAGTATAGCAACTTGGGGAAGAAAATGAGAGAAGTGATAGTGGCTGTTTAAAAGAACTAAGATAAAAACTGTGAAAACCTGTCCGTTTTCTCTAAGTAGTTTGTGATCAACTAAGGATGTCTGCTATGACAACTAAGGATGTCCGCTATGACAACAGGATAATACAGCGGTAGAATGAATGTCCTATATTCTTAGGTTCTATAAAATTGTAACACCTATACTCTTTTGAGGAATAACAGCTGGTCATCTCCTTCAAGAAGCACGAGTCCTAGAATTGTGGTAATTTTCCCATCTACCTAACAATAAGTATAGCTGCCCTTCCATAACTTAGAAATAAAGGTCTTGGCCTTCCAAAATGATTCCAACTATGCCTCCCTCTCCCACCCTGCTCCTTACACAGATTTGAACTCTCCATAGGGCACAGTGGGCCTCAGAATGTCCTTGATGGCAATGATATTGTCATGCTTGAAGTGCTTGAGGATCTTCAGCTCCCTGAGGGTCCGTTTTGCATTAGTCACCACATCAAAAGCATTTGGGATCTTCTTGATGGCCACCTGCTGGCCTAGAGAACAAGGAAACGGCAGATACCAAAGGGAACCTTGGTGTAGCTGCAGGACCCTTTCAACACTCCCTTTCTAGGACAAAAACGGTAGCAGCTACCATACATTGGGTAGCTACCATCAGCCAATCACAGGAGGTACTAAGAGCTCAGTTACAGGTGAATAATCCTGGCTCAGTAACTTGCTGGAGGGTGCACAGCTGCTTAGCCGTAGTCTTGACTCATTAACGCCTGTGTTCATTCTCCTCCTCTATATTCTCTCTCCATCGCAGGTCTCCCATCCCACCGCCAATCCCTTGTGCCAGTTTCTGGCTCTAGAACATTCTTGGTGTTCAGGGCCAACTCTTGGTCCTGGCCTAACTGGAGATTATCATTTTTCTAAGGGGAGAGTAGGATGGCAGGATGGCCACACCTAAGAATGGTGCCTAACCAGGGGCCACGCGCTCATCAGTAAGAGCCGAACTGAATCAGAATGCACAGCGCAGCTCTGCTTCCCCTGGCTGAGTGCGGGCAGGTTTCTCACCGCTCTGGGAACCAGTGTGCAGGTCTGTGAGACTCTGGAAGCTCACCCGTGAGGCGGCGGCGCGCAGAGGACACCACCCCATAGGCCCCGTTGCCTATGGTCTCGATGATCTCGTACTCGTCCCCCACGTCAAAGGTCACATCGAAGGAGCGGGCTTTGAGCAGGGCCAGGTTCTTGGCAGCGACAGAGGCCGCGGTGTGGGAGGGCTCTGCCTTCACTGGCCCGGGCGGCTCCCCAGAGCCGTCCTCGCCGTCCTCCTCCTTCAAGGGCTCGGCCATGGTGTCTGTGTGCAGACGCTGATGAGGGGGGCCAGCCTCGCGCGCCTCAGTTTCCCCTCCGCGGGCTAGGAACCAGTTTCCAGATTCCCTAAACCGACCGCGGCCGCGCAGGGGCGAACGACAGCCGCAGGCACAGGCAGCCTCCGACGCAGGAGTCGGAGTCGGCGCAGGCCGGGGTCTGAGGCGGGGGAGGGCGCTCCGCGGCGCGGTCCAGGAAGAAAGGGAGGGCGGGACACTCGGGCTTCCTCCGGACCACACTCACCGAATGGCGCCTGACCCCCACGCGTCCTCAGCGCTTTGGAGGACCGGAGCTCGCCGACCTCCTGTCCTCAGCAGAGCGGGGCTTCAGGACTTGCCCACTTACTTGCTCAAGGGCCGGCGCCACCACCTCAGCGTGGCGCACTGCCCAATCTGCCTCTCCCCCGCCCCTCCTGCCCCGCCCCCGAAGACCACGCTCCCTCCGGCCTCTGACCAGTCGCTGAGCGGCCTCCGCGGAGGTTCCCACCCCTTCAATTTGCTGTGTCCAATCCAAGCCCATGGACTCGTAAAGCCACACCTCCACCTACCCGCGCGCGCCCGCCGCTTTCCAGCTAGCCGGTGGGAACCGCCCAGAGGCCGCTCAGCGCTTCGCCGGGGCACTTCTCTCCCGGCTCTGTCCTCCGACGCATGCGCGCCGGCAGCTTGGGCGCCGGGTAAACTGAGGGCCACGCCCCTACACGTAAGCGCGCGCGCTCCCGTCAATCAGCTCTGTCTCCCCAGGCTGATCCCCACGAGCTCTGGGCGTAGCCCCGCCTTCTGTTGGGCAGCGACGCCCGGGAGTGTTACCTTGGCAACCAGCTCCCAAAATTGCCCCTTCTTTTGATCCCCTTGATTTTACCAGTCACCTCCCGAGGAGTTGTGCCCCCCACTTGCTCTGTCCTGGGAGTTCTGAGAGTGCATCGTCCGCGGTAGACAGTGACCCGGCTGGTCCAACCACAGAGACCCCAGTCCTCCGAGATTCAAGAGCGGTCTGTGCTGAGGCCGCCCCTGACTTCCGGTGGCTGGTCCTTTCCGCGCAGCTTGTGGCTAACCGGAACCTCTGCTCGCGGTTTCCTGTCCTCGGCGTGCTCTTGTCGGTGATAACAGCGTTTTGGGCAGAATGCAGTAGTTCGTTCATTCACGTAGCAACTGTTTACCGGGCACCGTGTAAGGCCTGCCAGTGTGGACAGGCAAAGTGGACGTAGTGGAGTATGTGCTCTGGGAGGAAAGGTTTTCGGCTGGGAGCTGGGTCGGGCTGTAAGAGGTGGTTTTGGAATTGGAACTCCAAAGATCCCTGGGTTTTCACCAGTAAAATGACAAAGAAAGGCCCTGAAGTTCAGCAAAAGTGTGTAGGCGTAGAGGTGGAGAAACAAAAGCTGTGTACAGGTTCCGCCTTTGCCCTGAATAACCATTGAGTGGAAGAGGGGACACCCCTGGAACCCGTCTGAGTGCCAGGCTGACTGTTTAGTCTTTAAATTGCAAACTCAAGACCCATGGTAAACCTGCACTTTTGTTTACAATCTCCACTCTTTCTCTTGTTCTTTGCTTTCTACTAAACTATACAGAAAGTTCCACATATCTTAAGTGTACTGTAAATTTTCACAGGCCTAACACACCCGTATATTGCATTCAGTCTTATTTATTTATTTATTTAGGTACTGGGCTTCGCGCATGCAGGCAAGCACTCTACTATTGAGATTCCCGTCTGCACCCCAAGGCCCTTGTGTATGGCATTCAGATGGAAAAACAAAGCCAACTGCAGTGGAGCACACCTGTAATCCCACTCTACTTGGGAGAGTGAGACAGAGGATCACCTCGAGTTCAAGGCCAGCCTGGGCTAAATAGACCTTGTCTCCTCAAAAACCAAAACTATATATTAAAATTAAAAAGGGCTGGGGATGTAGCTCAGTGGTGGGACGTCCCTGGTTCAGTTTCCAGTAAGAAAGACGGTAGGCGAATGTTGTGGGTTCGATTCCCGGTACCGGAAGAAAAACAAAACAAGACACAAGAAGTCCCTTCTCTTGTTCAGTAGTGACAGGGCTTGTTGTTGATGGTGTGGTTATTTTTTTTGTGTTTGTTTTTTGAGTTTTTTGTTGTCTTTGAACTTTAAGAGGTTTATCCGGATCTGTACATTACAATAGAAACGTATCCTTGTGTTTTTAAAAAAATGAACATTAATAGAATTATGAGTATTGGGTAACTCTGAGGATAAATATATATGTAGTGTTTAGACATGTAATAGTTATATTGACCTACTGAATTAAGGTAAATTTGTTGCTGATTTCCTGACAGCATAGCAAAAGCCAGATTGTCTCATGATTTGCATTGAACATTAATAAATCACACTCAGGGGAAATGAGCAGTTTTTGTCATTGAGGTCCAACGGTGTTTCTTTGATGGCCTTCCATTAGGTAATAAAGTAGACAATTTTCCCTAACTCTGAAATACGTGCCGTACAAGGTTCCACCCTCTGTAAGCAGAGGGCATACAAAGCAGGATACATTAAAAAAATTTTTTTTCAGAGAACCAAGTAGACATCTGTCTGGTTGGTGGTCCGGTCTGATCACAGAATAAAATGTAAATACCAGAAGAGCTTAACAAACTCTATACCCTTTAAATATTTTGTAAATACTTAATCTAGGATAGGAGTATACATTGCACATAAGTAAACATTCCTGGCCAAAAACACCTCCCTGATTCCTATTTACTTTTCAATCTACCATGATTCTAATCCCACAAGCCTGACTCTGTCCTGGAAAAGTCATCAATTATCTGATTAGAGTCAAACCCAATGGAAATCCTTCATCTTTGCTTTTCTGACCTGTCAGTTGCATATGACACAATTAACCACTTCTTTAGGAAAAAAAGTGTTGAATAATGCATTCGTAAGGTTCAAAATTCTAAAAAGTAGAAAACTGATTTCAACCCCAAATGACCACTGGAAAAAAGTAATGTGAGTACAGTACTGCAAAATACCCCCAAACCATTATCAAATTTGTACCAGGAGTGGGGTTATTGTTGTGATGCTGCCTGGCCATGTGACTTAAGAACCTTTGGAACTGATTTGGAAAAGTACCCCCCCATTACCAGGAATTGAGCTCATGACCTTGTGCTTGCCGCATGAGCTAAATCCCCAGGCCCTAGGAAAAGTTTTGAGAGACGGGCCAAAGAGGCAGCCCTTGTATGCTGCAAAGTATATTGCAAACTCTGATTGGAGCCTGGAAAATCAGAATACTCATGGAAATGCTGCCAATTAAGATGAAGCTCAGGAGGCTTCAGTTGAGAAGGACTGCATTGGTTGCTGAATCCCAGGTAGTATATTGTGCTTTGGCAGAAGTTGGTCTGCATTTTGCTTGCCTTTAGAGATATTGCCTGGTTGGAGAAACATTTCATTGTAGTCTGTTGGATGGTGGCATGGTTACTGTTGAGATCTTTTGGCCAGGTCAGTGTTTGTAATTAAGAGCAAAAAGCCAGAAGAATGATATGAAACATTTGGCCATAGGAGTGGCTCTAGTGGAGCTTTGGATTGCAGGGATGAAATAGAGGAAAACGTGATTGCTAAGAACAGAACAATGAAAAAATGAACTGAAGCCTTTCACCTGAAGATAAGAGTGTATTTGAATTGCAGGAGATCCCTATTTTTTACTCTTGCCATGCATTGTAAAAATTAATGGGAAGTAAGGACTGTGTTAATGTTTTTATGTTTTTAGATATATGTTTATAATCAAACATATATCTAAAATTAATTAAAGTATTTTCTTTTAACTTTGAGTTTTGGTCACCCTTTGAATATCTTGTTTTTGGTGCAGAAATGAGTGCAGAAAAAAAAAGAATTGTATATATGTAACTTATATTAATGTAAATGTAAATAGACCAAGACATGTTAATTTTCACAAATCTGCCACTAGAGACTGTGGATTAAGGAAATGTGTATGGTTATCAAGTTGACCAGGGGTGGACTGTAGTGGATAGACAACTGGTGGTCAACTTCTAACCCCCAGCTGAACTGAGGAAGTATGATGCTGGGTGTGGGAGGCCCACCTGAGGATTGCTGCCAGCAGTATAAGAAGCAAAACTGGAGAAGAAGTGAGGGTGCTGGGAGCAGAGAAAGGCTGTTGGAACTGGTAGAAGCTGTAAGGAGCTGTTGGTTTTGTTGGAGGAGCTCGTCATGCTGGCTTTCCTGATGAACTTCGCTGTTTCCATCCTCTGAGGAGCTCGGGACCTTGTTGGCACTGAGAATAGCTTTGGTTCACTTTGGGGGAGCTCTGGTCCTCTGAGCATCGCTTCCTGGCTTCAGAGGGGAAGATGGTACACTGCCAGTCTTCTGGAGAAGCTTGCTGTGCTGGCTTTCCTGATGGGAACTCAGCTGTCTTCAGCATTGGAGGAACTCGGGACCTCACTGTTGCTGAGGATGGCTGTGGTATTTTTCAGGGGAGCTCTGGTTTGTACTTTGCGCGTTGCTTCCTGGCTCCAGTATAGATCCCTCAGCCTGCTAGCACAGATCCTTTATCCTATTGGCACACACTTCCTAGGTTCCACCACTGACCTTTGGGCCTTCCCAGTGCAGATCCGTGAAACAGGCCTGCATGAGATATTGTTATGGGCTCTAGGCCTCCAGTTGGACTTGTGGGAGGCACTGTTATGAGCTCTAGGTCTTTGGCTGGACTCATGCAGGACATTTCTGTGGGATCCAGGCCCTCAGCTAGTTTCCTTGGTCTTAGTGTGTGGACAGATTTCCTGCACTTCTTTGTATAGCATTCTTTGGGTGACTAATATAAATAATTTATAAAATATGTGTCTTCTATTATATTGCTCCCCTTGCAAAATATCCCCGAAACCATAACAAGTACATATCCTGTCCTCCTGCCTTTTGTGTACAAAAGGCCACAGGCACAGTCTCCCTGAAGAGTACATCAATAATTACACATGTCTCTTGCCTCCCCAACCCTTTAAAAAATAACAGTTTTTTGACATATATCACACATACTGTAAAACTTACTATTTTATAAGGTACAACTCAGTGTTTTTCACTACATTCACAGGGTTGGGCAGTCATTGCCACTACCTAGTTTTAGGACATTTTCATTACCCCGCCAAAAAACCCATTAGCAATCAATATAGATTTCCTTGTTCTGGACATTCCACGTATTATAAACAGAATTGTATAATATGTGGCATCTTGCACTTCGCATTGGGTTTTAAAGGTTCATTTATGTTGTATCATGTAACAGTATTCCATTCTTTTTTTCTACTGAATACTTTTCCATTTTGTTTATTTATTTATCAGTTGATAGACATTTAGGTTGTTTCTTTTTTTTTTGCTGTATGCATAATGTACAAGTTTTTGCATGGGGATGTTTTCACTTTTCCTGGGTATATACTGAGGGTATATGCTGACTCATGACTTTTCCTGGGTATATGCTGACTCATGATAACTACATGGTTAATTTCTGAGGAAATGTCAAGCTGTTTTCCCCAGCAGCTGCACCATTTTACACTTTAATCAGAATATTTAAAAACCCCAGATTTTCAACATCCTCACCAACACTTGTTATTTTCCTCTTTTTATTAATTATAGCCTAGTAGGTGTGAAGTATTATGTCATTGTGGGGTTTTTTGTTGCTTTGTTTTTCAGTGCTGGGGATGGAACCCAGGGCCTGGTATATACTACACATTTGGTAAGCGTGGTGCAGGGTGTGGGAGGCCACACCCATTTTCCCTCTTCAGAAGTTTCATTTTGAGACAGGGCTTGCTAAATTGCCTGAGCTGGCCTCAGACTTGCTGCCCCAGCCTCTCAAGTAGCTGGTGTTACAGGCCTGTGCCAGTATGCCTGAGGCTCTCATTGTGGTTTAGATTTGCATTTTCCCAGTGACTTAAGGGTGTTGAGCATCTTTTCATGGACATATTGGCCAAATGGCCTTTTGCAGTGTGTGTGGGGGGTGTGTATTCAAATGCTTTGTCCTTTATTCTTTAGACTTGTTTTCATTCTTGCTAGGTTGTTAAGGCTGTCCTCAAACTTCTGTTCTCTCACCTCAGCCTCCTGAAGAATATATAATATTCTTTCAAATGGAATCTGTTTGACTAAGACCCTATAGGTACACATTTAGATTAGTTCAAATTTTTGCTGTAGCAAACAGTGCTGAAATAAATTTTTTGAACACATTATATCACATGCTGCAGGTATTTCTGCAGGAAACATATCCAGAGTGGGAGTGCCAACTTAGAGTATTATGCGTGTAACTTTAACAGCTAATGTTCAGGTTCTATCTTTAGAGATTGTGCCATGTAGACACCCACCAGTGGTGTGAGAGGGTGATTCATAATGTGCCTTTTCAGAGATAGAATTATTTGCCTGTGTTAAAAACGGAGAATACCATCTCATAAAAATCCTGATTTCTGGTTTCTTCTAGAAAATCGAAAGATCTGTCAGTATTAGACCTGTATTTCCACATGGCAGAAATGTGCTGGAATCCCACCACTGAAAGACATGGGCATGCTGGATGTGGTGGCATATACCTATAATCCCAGCACTCTGGAGGCTGAGGCAGGAGGATCACTGTGAGTTTAAGGTCAGCCTGGGCTACAAAGTGAGTTTGTCTAGCCTGAAACTGCATCGTGAAACTCTGTCTCAAAAAGACCAAAAAAAAAAAGGATAAGAGGTAAAATTAATGGTAAGAGCCTGGAGGCAAAGAGTAGATTATTGCAAGACCAGGTAGCACCCCAGTGGCAGTGCCAAGGCTCCATGAGAGAGGGGTATGATGGGAAGCAGAGGCAGGACTGTGGGTGGTGTCAGGGTCTCTGTAGGCAATGGAAATGTCACTGAGATGAGGACCAAGGAAGAGGGTCAGGCTGAGGAGATTGTGGTGACCAGCGAGCCTGCTCATCCTGCCGTTTTTTTGAAAGGCATCAGGGGCTGACAGGCTGAGAGGTAACAAGCAGTAGGACCAGCAAGCATGTGCAGCAGGCGCTGGCTGGAACACGCAGCTTGCTCCTCAGCCTCCAACCAGGGCTCCAAGCCCAGCATGCACAGGCAGTCATGCCATGACACATGTGTGACACAGGTATCCACATATCCATTACCATTCACAGATGCACGGAGAACTCATGGCCCCAGGGAGATGCCCTCCCACACAGACTATACTCACACAGGGACACACTTACACATACTGTCACATTTCGATGGGGTGTGCACATACAGATTTGCATAGCATACACACAAAAGTATATCTACACAAGCAGGGACTGTGCACATGGATATACAGACTTCCAGAACAGAGGCTGGGTACACAGATAGGACTTGCACAAATCCAGTCACAGAATTACAGACCCACCCACAAACTCCCACTAGTGCTTCTG